AAAAAGCAAATTTGTGTATTTCCCAGTAAAAACATGTAATATTTGTTCATATCTTGGGGTTCTCAAACATCTGACATTTATTCTGTGTGGCTCTTACGCTAAGCAAGTTTGGCCACCCCGGTTCTAGGCTGATTCGCAGGTTCTAAGCTGATCCTGCACTGAGCAGGGGTTTGGACTAGATGTCCTGTATGGCCCCTTCCAACTCTATGATTCTATATACCTGGCTACCCTAGACCTAAAACCACCAGAATAAATGTTATGGTGTTTTCAAACAGGAGACTTATATTGCCTTTCATGTTATTGTCCTGCCATTGAGATTAATGTTTGGTCACTGTCAATGTTCCCTCTAAGCTGTGGAGTCTTGTGAGCAAAAATTCTACTTTCTGAGCTACCGGCATTAAAGTTGTGAGCAAGTGATTTGGCTACTGCATAAATTCGTTTGCTCTGTAGCCATCCTTTCTGAGCTAAAAATGTGTGAGCCGGAGGCTAAAAAACTGTGAGCTAGCTCACACTAACTCATCTTAGAGGGAACACTGGTCAAGGCAGCTTCATGTGTTCACGTGACTCTATCGGCCTTGATCCAGAAAAAAATAAATTACTGGGTTTTGAATTGGCTAACTACTAGCTTTGTGTCGTTGATTCCCAAGGGATCTGAGAATTACTCCACCCCCTCCATGGATTGGGATCAGTGGCTGAAATGCTGCATACAGTTACCCGCACATAACCTCTAAGAAGTGGATTGCTTTGAGCACACACAACTGCCCAGTTCCGACCAAATGGCGCAATTCACTGCACAAGCCTCCATTCATTTCAGCGGAACTCGGGTGGAAACCATGCAAGCTCTCTTTGAAATCAATGAAGGGTCATGTTTTTGCTGTGTCTCCCCTAAAGATGGCAACGCCTCACGCCAGAGGGGCAGGGCAGGGAGCTTTTCCACCACCCGATGCACAACCTTTCCCAACAAGCCAAATGCATCCTCCCCAGTGCATTTGCAAATGACCACACATCAGGCACTTTGACGGCTATCAAGCAAACAGAGTCCTTGGTTTATCACCACCACTTCAGTGCACACAATTCTAGGGAGAATTTTCCCCTTTGTTCTCAGAAAATTCCCATCAGAGATTGTGAATTAAAAAAACAAAACAAAACAAGCTGGAAATGTCTTGTGTTCCTTTCACTGGGTATACCCCTTCTGAACAGGGACTTCCTGACCTTCTGAGACATGGTCCCAAAGTCTAACACTTGCTAGAATGGATTTGGTGTGTGTGTGTGTGGGGGGGTCACGTTCTGGAGGTGATTGTTCAAAGAAACATTCATCACCTGGAGTTCAGTATTTTTTAAAAAAACTTCTATAGAGGTCCATAGCATGACTTTAAGCATCTTAAAACTGTTGCTTTCCGATCTGTTTCTGAGACTCTAAAAGCTACTTTTACCCTTACATTCACGAATCCCTTGGGGCTAATGTTCATCTGAATTCCTGAAATGTGGGAAGAAAATCCCAGGAACGACCAAGGTCACCAGCTCTGGGTTGGGAAATTCCTGGACGTGAGGTGCCTGGGGAGGGCGGAGTTTAAGAAAGGGAGGGGCTTCAGCAGGGTAGGGTGCCACAGAGTCCACCCTCCACAGCTACCATTTCCTCCAGGGGGGGCTGATCTCTTCCATCTGGAGAGCAGCGGCAATCCCAGATCTCCAGCCACCACCTGGAGGGTGGTAACCCTGGTAACAACCGAGCCTTGAAATCTATCCTGTCTTCCAGGTCAAGCCCAGAAGTTTATGTTGGCTCGAGCCTGCCATTGATTTGATTAGGCCTGAGGGTTTGAAGACTTGTGTGTATCTGTGTGTGCTTTGCGTAATTGTTTCCTAAAAACGCCAATAGAATCGGCCTGTTGCTGCGGAGTTCAGGCAGACCAAAGGCAGCGCTTCTGTCTCTTTAGCACCTTCACATCCTGCCTGCTGATTTTGGGGCTGCGTACAGAATGCTGGAGCTGGAGCTCGGCTACATATTCCTTGCAGAGATTAAACCAGTCTCCTAACAGCTTCATACTGTTGTATCTCTCCATGGCGACACGGTTGTGAACAGCTTCCAAGGAAGGGTGTGTTTGTGTGTGCTTTTCCCTTCTCCTTTCAATGTCGCTTAGCCTTCCAGCAGAAAGCACGGGACAGAAAGTGTCGTCTAAGAATAACAAAGTTGTGAAATACTTTTTGGAGAAACTTTGTGCCCTTTTCCCTGTCTTCCCCCCCTCCCCTCCAGAAAGGTTTTGACCTATTTCTATTCTCCTTTCCCTTTCGATCTGGAGGCAAATGGGTGATTTCGGGATACAACAAAACACAATGCACTATGGGAAGCAGTCAGTACATTCATGAGTGATGCAGTTGAGGGTCCGCGCGAGTCACTCCCACTGTCCGTCGGAAAACAAAGCCCTCACTGTTTCAGCTTCTCGTTATGAATATACCACCCAAATGTTTAGTCTTGTATAAGTAAATATCAGACTTTCTTTTTTAAAATCGTTCATGTCCTACGTGTATAGATAAATCGGAATGGCACATTTTTTTTCCTGATCATCCGCACAGACCCGTTGGGAACTGGCACCAGTCATTCGCCACCCACAAGGTCATTTTAGCGTTCCCAAGAGACGGCTCTTAGCAGCTCCGTAACACAGGCATTATACTTCCTTACTGTTCTCTGGGCTGCTGATGGGTCTCCCCAAGTCTTGGCCAGATGTGTGACAGTCTCAACAGTCTCAGGACCATCTTCCTATGTAGAAAGTTTCCAAAGAGGGAAAAACCAGTATATATAGTACTAGGATCCTTGCTTTTGCATTCATTCCCCCCCAATCATCCAATCCTGTCCTGGGGAACTATTTTGCAATGGGCTGTTTCCGGTTTTGCAAAGGTCTGCTTGATATAGTGGTGCAGGTATGTTGTCTCCTCTTCCCACGTTTACGGTCCAGCACATCTCTTTGTCTATCAGTCCACAAAACAGATTCCTTTGTCTCTTGCAAGCACCAGATCTTCTCTTGCTTCTGCAACAGCCTTGCGTTTCGATGAAACCTGTGCAAGAGAATCTCCTTTCAGTGGCTTCTCTCCTATAGCATTCAGAGAAGGAGCAGGGCTGAGCAAGACTTCTTCAAGACCCAAGTCCTCGAAAGGAGATGTTGGCGACTCAGTGCCATCGCTCTGCTTTAGAAAACAGTGACCAAGAAGCTGTCTTGGTGACGCATTCTCCGGGACTCGGATAGAAGCAGCAGGAACACAGGAAATCTCATGAACGTGTTTTGCTTTTTCTCGCCCTCTTCCCCATCATTTCTTCCTCCCCCTTTCCAACGTTAATCAAATGCTCAGAAATTACAGTTGGCATCAAGTGCCCTCTGCTCAGAAGAGGTTCCCAAACAAACGCAAAGACTAATGTCAACATGCTAGCAAAGTAATTGGCCTCCGTTGGCTTCTGAACGGATGGATTTTCAAAGGAGTAAAGCGAGAGGTTTTTGGCCATGGAAATGCACGCGGAGGTTGAGATGGGGAAAGGACTGAGAACGTTGTTGACACAGACTTGGGGGGGGGGAAGGAAGGGTGATTCTTTTGTCCGTCTGTTTTTGGAATGTCCATATTTAATAGCAAACTGGGGACACTGGAACAGATGGCAGAGTTGCTCCCCTAATATAAACAGCTTTTAAAGTGTATTACTTTTTAAGGCAAAGCTTAGAAATGGATAACTTGAGCTAGGGATGCGCTTGCTTCATTTCAGGGAAAGGAAGCGAGAGATCCAAAATCGCTGCCTTTAATAGGTGTATCCTTGTTGGGGTGCTACTGAATTTTGTGCCTTTTTTCTTGGTTCCCGTTTGGATTTTAGATGCATCCCATTGGTCATTTGTGCCATTATCTTCTGGCCAACCCCCCCCCCCACCGCCCCCATGAGCTGCCTAAATGTCCTCACTCTGCATCAAAGGAGATGAAGAGGCTGCAACAGATTTTTAAATGAGAAAGATGATGATGATGATGGTTTGAATAATGAGGAATTTTAAAACGTGGTTTGGATAGAGGTGGAGCTCGATAAAAGGTGATTATCCTGATGGATGTTTGGAAGAATGGATGGGGAACTGAGGAGGAGAGATTTGGATTTAAAAAAAACCCAGCATAGATAATTACATTGATTGATTGATAAATATGGCAAATAGATTACTGGAAAGGCAGATGGATGGATAATTAGATGGATGGGTGAATGGGCTGAAAGGCAGCATGATTATTCTGATAAATGGGAGGCGCATGACTCACCATTTTGTCTATTTATCTACATTGACGAGTCCCTCTAGCTTTAGGGTTCTATGGAACAGGGCCAGCTCCCCCGTCTTCCCTCGCACCGATTGGCTGGCTCATTGTTTATGTCTAAGGACATGATTGGTCCAGCAGTGTCAGCTCCAGCCCCCACGTTTCCAATATAATCCACAGGGTAGGGGGGAAAGCCTTGACTGACGGGATGGGAACCCAATTGAAACGTCCGCCCAGACTGAAGCGAAATGAAACCAGAGTGTAATTGGACAGTTAGAAACATGAACGGGTATGTACAGTGTAACAAGTAGAAAGAACAATCCTTTTGCTCAAGAGACACAGAGATAATAATAGGACACTTTTTTTTTGTTTTACTCATTTTAACTTTCCACTGTGCATCGTCTCTCAGACCAAGACGCGCCTCCCGGGGCATATCGCGGGCTGAGCCGAGAAGCGCTTGACTGTAGAATGAGAGGTTGGTTATTCATAAATAGGGTTTGAGGGGCGGGGCCAGGGGAGGAAATGAAAACAATTCTGCTTTGTGAAATGCCCGTAATTGACCAATCCTTAATGGGCGGTTGACTTGGAACCCAGTTGCCCTCCCCCACCCCGTGCCCCCCTCCCGGCAGTATATTTCAAGCTGTAGACTTTGTGTGGGTTTTTTTTCCTTTACCTTTTTCTTAATCCCCTCCCTCCCCCAGCAGTGTGGATGGTTAAAAGTCTGTGGTGTGGGAGAAGCCAGGCATCGAATGCAAGGACCCTCACTTTTCTTATCAAAACTTGAGAAGGAAATGAGCAAGCAGGGCGCCTGATAGCCAGAGGGAAGCCATCTCTCTGGATGCAGAGTTGTTCCCGTCGTGTACTGCTCCAGGGCCTGGAGGTGAAAAGAAAAGAAAGGGAATTGCTGGTTACTGTCACAGTAAGAGAGGGAAATCCAGTGTCTTTCAATGGGCTTTTCTGCATTGTTGTTTTTCTGGCTTGTAAGTTCCCGTTTCTTTGGGGGATTTTTTTCCTGTTCCGCACATGTTTTGCTCCCTCTAGTGGAAGATTAATTACTAAACCAGGTTATGTCCAGCGTATCTCCCTGCAGATTCAAACTGCAGGTCTTTATGCCAGACATAACCCGGTGTCATATCATACCAACCACTAGAGGGAGCAAAACACTTCCAGAACACACCCCCCCCCGCAAAGAAATAGGATAAGTGAGGGAAATGAGAATGCAGAAGAGCCCACTGATCACCAAACAGAAATATTCAAGCTCCCAAAAGTTCTTTGAAAGTGATGTAAGACCTCTTTGTTTGGGCAGAGTTAGGCTCCGTTCACATATCGCAAACCAACTCAGCCTTGTCAGTCTGGACATGATCCTGCTTAACTGCTGGGCTCACAAATTCCCCACCTCCCTACATATGGTGTGCAGATGAGCTCAGCCTTCGACAACACATTGAGTTCAACAGGGGTCGTTTCATAGAAAAAGAGCTAGGGGAACTCATTAGCATAACTGATTAGCATATGCCACACACCCTGACATCACCGGAAGTGTGTCATAAGGCCACACACCCCGCCCCCAATGGTCCCGGCCGCCACCGGCGGCCTTGCAGCTCCACTGCCGAGCCCTATGAGGGGCCCGGCGGTGGACCTGCAAGGCCGGCGGGAGTGCAAGGAAGCCCCACGAAGGCCCTCCCTGGCCCCAGGCAGGCAGGAGTGGGGAGAGGCAGGGAGGAAGCAACTTACCCTCCCTCTTCTCCTGCCTCCTCCTGGCTGAATGAGGGCCGGAAGCGGGGCGGCCGGAAGCAGGGGGTGGGGCTTCGTCATGTGCCCCGCCCCCTGTACCTCACCCGGGGGAACTGCGATCCCCGCGATTCCCCCCCCCAAAATGACCTCTGGAGCTCAACTAACTCCCACAAAATGTGATACCCGAAGGAGGATGACTGCAGACACCCGAGATTAGGATTCCGTTGTGATCAAGGATCTCAGTTACTGGGAAAGCAACTAACTGTGGTTTATTATGGCACCCACATGTGGACGTAACAACTTACTGGACTGAGCTAAAAAAAACCCACCTGTTGCGTCTTCAAATCCTTTGGGCAACAGGCTGTAGATTTAAATAAAGCAAGTAGCTGCCTGTCTGGGGGCAATGACCATGCCGGACTGTGTAGCCCCCACAGCATGGGGGACCCAGCGACAATGGCTCACACTGCTCCAAACCCGGCAAAACTCTCCTTACCTCTGGCAGGGAGGGATTCAGCCCACCCTGACCAGACGATGGTAGCACGAACCGGGACCTGGACAAGTGGGGGAGAGCGAGAGACCGGGAGGTGCACAAAGTGCCAGGGATCCATGACTCCGTACCACCTGGCAAGGTGGACCCCAGCAGCAGGGTGAGGCCGGACACCGGCCTGTAGGCAGGCCACAGCCTGCTCAGTGAGAGAACTCAGTGAGAGAACAGTGAGAGAAGTTCAGGTGGATCCAGCCTGGGGAGACGGGGAGGTGGGCCAGCAGTGCAAGACACCTGACTGGGGAAGGGCAGCAAAGTTGGGTGGGCAATGCGCCCCCCACCCCACACTGAGGGTACAGGGGTTGACCCCTTCCCACTTCCCAGGCTTCTTGAGGGAGGGAGAAGATTGGGTGCTTCTCGGGGAGGTGGGATCTAGGGCTTGATTTAAGGGGGCAGATGCGAACAGGCCAGGGAGGAGGAGCACAGGACTCTCCCGGGGGACCGCGGCAGGACAGAGAGATGCACAGAGAGAGCATGTGGACAAAGGAGGGGGGATAAGGTACAGCCAACCTCCCCCTCCCTTTTGTCATATCTGAGGCCCAATCCTCTACCTACATCTGGGCAGAAATCAAGCCCTGGAAGAGCCTAGCCCCAAGAAGACCGAACCACGGGGGCCAGGGCTTGGCATTGCTTTTATGTAAAGCGTGAATTGATATATGGTATACTCTGAATTCCCGATACAAGGAAAGGTCCTGAGCAGCTTACTCCACGGGACTTGTATCTGACAAAGGGAGTTTTGAGTCTCCCCAGAAATCTTGTTGGGTATTTAAGGTACTGCTGGACTCAAATCTAGACAGACTGGAGTCTCTGCAGCCTTAAGTGCAGGTGCTGAAGGAAGAAGAAGAAGAAGAAGAAGAAGAAGAGATTGGATTTATACCCTGCCCTTCACTTGGAGTCTCAGAGCAGCTTACAAACTCCTTTCCCTTCCCTTCCCCTCCCCACAACAGACACCCTGTGAGGTGGGTGGGGCTGAGAGAACTCTGACACAAACTGCTCTTTTTCAAGGACAGCTGTGCCAGAGCTTGTGACTGACCCAAGGTCACATCAGCAGGTGCAAGTGGAGGAGTGGGGAATCAAATCCGGTTCTCCCAGATTAGAGTCCGTGCACTTAACCACTACACCAAACTGACCTGCAGTGGCAGCAGAACGCATGGTTTCCCTGGGGAGAGTCTCTGTTTCAGTACTGATTATCTGTTGGTAAAGGGTTTCGGGTTAATAGGGTTCCAAAAAAGAGCACTGGGCTATGTGACGCTGTCCATGTCCCTCTTTATGTCTTGCCCAAGTGAGAATCTCCTATTCTCCTCCGATTTCACTTCGGCCAGATTCGGGCACCACCAGATGTGGCGGATCCTGTGGAGACATTTGGCTAATTTCCACTAAACGCCACGGCTCTGTCTTTGAACCCATACACCCGTTTCTAATGTAATTGTCGGTGAGATGCAGCGGCATGCGCCGAGCACCGTGCAGCTTCCGACGTTTGTGATTCCGACGGCTGCTCCGTCTCCCTCGCTCGGTAATGTCGCATATGGTGGAACTCCTTGTAGTCTCCAAATTTAATTTCCTTGTCGCAGAGCTTTTTCAAAGCCCAGAATAGACTCTTAGCCTAAATAAGCTGCGCGAGCCCCCAAGCTATTCTCTCCCCCTTCTTCTCCAATCTCCACTGCAACCGTTAGGAACCAAAGAGACTGGCAGCCCTTGTGTGCCGTTTGATTCATTAATCTGTGATTTTATAGCCAGGCTGATTGACTGGAGTCTTGGAATAGAACACATCTGTGTCCAGCTCCTCCCATCTGGAACCCTTTATGCAGTAACTGCTCTTAAATGTTTTACATTCTTGTAGTTCTGTTCTCTGGCGGTGGGGAATTCCCCCCCCCTTTCTTCTGTCCCTCCCTCCCGACTCGGCACACGCAAAGACTGCTTTCGGTTATTATTTAACTAGCTGAATGGCATCCGTCTAATTAAAAATTGATAATGACCACAGCACACAAGCATGCAGCAAAAGAGACAAATAGGGTGTGCAGACTCTGATAATTGTGCCGTTGTTCCTTCTCAGTACTAGGGGATACTTCCCGAAATGATACATTGGGTTTTTAAAAAAAATATCGCCTGGCTTCTAAAAGCAAAGAGAAGCTGTATTTCCGACATGCAAATTATGAATAAGCTGATCCTCAACTGGGGAATGGGGTAGTGTGGATCTTGGGAACTCCAAAGGCGACCTCATGTGTTTCAAAATCCCTACACATTACGCAAGTGGCAGGTAAGAACTGTGACGTTGCACTTCTGAGCCATGACTGTCTACACTGAGAATGCTTGTTAAGTTCTGACATGAAATAATTAAATCAATTGTGTTCCTTCTACAACGTTAGTAACCTTCTACAACCCTAACCCTAAGCAGGCCCAAGTAATGACATGAGGAGAACTCCAAATTCAGGTTGTCCAAGGAAAGAGAGTGAGGATATCTGAAGTTAGAGGCTCCAGCCTCCCCTATGAGATTTTTTGCAACAGTTGAATAATGAGACACATGTGGACACATCATGTGCCAAAGGACCCAAAGGTCACTGGTCAACGTAGCTATCACTCTGCGGATGCGTTAGCTCCTCACAATTTTAATGGCTTCCTAACCCCCTGAAAACTGTGCATGTCTTCTTAACCTGAACAGCACCACCGGGATGTGGTAGAAGAGGAGAAAGAGAATATGTACAGCTCAATCCTAAACTCCAGATGTTGGTGCAGCACCAGTGCTAACATAGTGCTGCATAGGTAGGCGGTATCCTCACCTCTGTCCCACTGTCTTAGTGCAAGGGGAAAATGGCAATAAAGTCCAACTGCAAGGAGCTCAATGAATAGCAACTTCACTAAAGTCCACACCCACCACTCATGGACATCAGCCAGGCACCACACGGCAATACTGGCACACCTCCCTGATATCACCGGGCCTTCACCCACACATAGAACACAATAGAAGAAGAAGAGATTGGATTTATACCCCACCCTTCACAACCTGAAGGAGTCTCAGAGAGGCTTACGATCTCCATTCCCTTCTCCTCCCTACAACAGACACCCTGGGAGGTAAATGGTGCTGAGAGAGCTTTTTAGAGAACTGCTTGTGAGAGAACAGCTCTGAAAGAACTTATGACTGACCCAAGGTCACACCAGCAGCGGCAAGTGGAGGAGTGGGGAATCAAACCCGGTTCTCTAAGATTAGAGTCTGTGCTCTTAACCTCGACACCAAACTGGCTCTCAATAAGGAAAGGAACAATTGCGGCACAGTGCATCTATTGAACCGTGAAGTGACCAGCAGAGCTCTCTAGCTTTCACACTCCTGGGTGCCTAGCAGGTGGTAGTTTAAATCCTCTGTCGAGAGGCTGATATACAGGGAAGGAACTATAGAGACCACAGTCATCTCACATCACCCCACAGAAAGCCCGTGAGCTCTCCCTGTCAGGGGGCCAGTCCCAGAGCGGGGGGGGGGGGAATGCCCTAAGGAACTGATTTTTCAAGATGAGAGTTCAGACAGACACTAGGACAGCAGCCCTGGAATACAAACAACTTCACAGAAGGTGTTCCTGACATTCCCCACAATAGCTCACTGGAGAAAGGACCTCCTGTGAGAAATGGGGTGACAGATTTGAAGCCCACCAAGGTGGAAGGTAGGAATAAGGCAAACCTTATTCCAATCCAAAGAGCAGCAAAACAGGAGGCAGGAAGAAGGAGAAGGAGGAGGAGGAGGAGGAGGAGGAGACTAGATTTATACCCCGCCCTTCACTCGGAGTCTCAGAGCGGCTTACAAACTCCTTTCCCTCCCCCTCCCCACAACAGACACCCTGTGAGGTAGGTGGGGCTGAGAGAGCTCTTTCAAGAACTGCCCTTTCAAGGACAGCTCTTGTCAGAACTATGGTTTGCCCAAGGTCATCCAGCAGGTGCAAGTGGAGGAGTGGGGAATCAAACCCAGTTCTCCCAGATTAGAGTCCGCACTTAACCACTACACCAAACTGGCTAGAACCCAGATCTCAGTCACTGCACTATTCTAACCAAAAAACCCAATTGCATATACAGTCAGAAGAAACATCATGGGTAACAGGCATCCTCCATTGGCCTTGGTCTTGAAACAAGCCATATGCACCAGGGCAGGAAATACTGCAGAGTGGCACTGTGGACCAGCACAGGGGTAGCATACATTGCCTCTGTGGTTCAAGCCCCACACGGGGCTAGCTTCAAGAAAACCCTAGAAGGAAACTCAGGCACAGCTGAGATTCCCTCCCACCCCCCCTTTGGGAACCAGTCATTTGTATCGGCTGCTTATGCTGACTGGCTGCCCAGATGCTAGTAATTTTGCCTGGCACCTTCTGTTTCACCACCCCTCCAGTGCTTTCCTGGGATCGCTGCCGCCACCTGTTGCTGTTTATCTTAGCAACCCAGTGTGGTTTATCACCCACCAGCAGCGATTCAGGGAATTGTGAATGCAGAGGAACCCGCCCTTGCTAGAGAATCCAACTGCGTGGGCACTGGAGGACCCTCTCGCCGCCTTCTCGGTGCAACTCCCATCCTGAAGACAGCTGCGGTTCCTAACAAACAGAATGCTGGCGTATCAAACTCCCATTAATAACACACAGACAGAGAGAGAAAGCTGTGAAACAATCCGAATGTTTATTGAACCAGACCAGGAGTGGAGTTCGGCAGGCACGTCAGACGAATGGCATTACCAACTCGTTTGGTGTGGTGAGTCTTCTGGGCCTTTGAAAGCTGCATCAACAAACGGCATAAACTCAGGTGGAGTAGTTCTTGCCACTGGATTCCCATCATGTGTACAGTGGTGGTGGGGGAACCACTGCTGAAGGATGCAGGAGCCAGGCTATATCGAAAGACCTGGCAGGCACACAACAGGTAGACAGGTGCACGCAAGTCACTGCAGCCGTTTGATCATGTCTTCGGCTCAGCGGGTGGTTGATGTTCCACTGTGGATGGCACCCGTCCTCACCTCTATGCCTGTTGGAGGGCCCCCTGAAAAGAGCCAAAAGAGACACAAGGCCAGCGACGTTCAGCAATAGCTGCAAACTGCAAGTGGGGAAGAGGTGGTGACTCGGTGCTAGGACGTCTGCCTTGCACGCAGGAGGTCCCAAGTTCAATCCTTGGCTTCTCCACAAGGATGAGGTAGTGGCTGGTGTAAAAGACCTCTGCTTGAGACCCTGGAGAGCCGCTGCCAGTCTGAGTAGACAAGACTGACCTTGATGGCTCAAAGGCCTGATTCAGTATAAGGCAGATTCATGTGTTCAAGGCCAGCAATGTTCAGCAAGTGGGCTCAATCACTCTGCTAACAGCATGAGATTTGAGAGACTGGCACCGCCTAAGGCCTCATCTATTTTCTATCCCTCCCCTGGGGGGTTCCTACATATTTGGGTTCACCTGTTGGGAGTCCGGGTCTAAGTAATTAAGCCAGTGCTTACCTGTTCCTTGTAGAGAGTTGTATTGGAACCCCATCTGCAGTTTCTGTTTGGGCCACTCTTTGGGGGCCTGATCCTGCAAGGCAAAAGGTGTCATGAATGTTTGGTTGGTAGTACTAACAGCTGGAGTGGCTGGGAGTCACCACAAATGTGGTTGTGTGCCGTGTTTCCCCCAGTGGCATATGGGGTTATACTGAAACAATACCACAGGATGTAACACAAGCGCATGCTTGCCCTTCTCTCCCTGTGCATGCATGCCCTGTGTGCAGGAGATGCTGCTAGCAATTGTTGAGGAAAGAAGAAGAAGAAGAAGAAATTGGATTTATAACCCACCCTTCACTCGGAGACTCAGAGCGGCTTACAAACTCCTTTCCCCTCCCCTCCCCACAACAGACACCCTGTGAGGTTGGTGGGGCTGAGAGAGCTCTGACAGAAACTGCCCTTTCAAGGACAGCTCTTGCTAGAACTATGGCTTGCCCAAGGTCATCCAGCCAGGTGCAAGTGGAGGAGTGGGGAATCAAACCCAGTTCTCCCAGATTAGAGTCCGCGCACTTAACCACTACACCAAACTGGCTCTCACATCAAACTGTGTGGTGGGGTGTATGGTGGAGGGAATAGATATTTTGTGTGGGGAAATGGATTTGAGGCAGAAGATGCCCTTCCTTTGCTTACCTCTGCGGACGGCATCATCCTCATGTCACCAGCTGAGTCACTGCTTGTGTCCTGAGGTGGAGAACCTGTAAGGCTTCTAGCAGAGCACTGTTAGCAACCTACGGGAACAGAATTTGTTCTTATCCCTGGCTGGCGGTGCCAAGTGCTTTTTTCCTCCAGAGTTCCCATCTACCCACATCCACCCGGTGTGTGTTCTAAGCATGCATGGTATGAAGCCGGAGGGAGGTGGCCCCGTGCCACATGCCCTGTCATTTAAGGATGGGCGTCCCAGATGGGACAGGGCACATGGCAGGCCTCATGCTCGGGCAGCATCCAGCAGAGCACTGAGCAGTATCCAGCACAGGCAGGGGAGAAGTGTGCGTGTGCAGCAAAACATCCTTCTCAAAATAGCACTTGTTGAGGTCAACCTCTTGCAGATGTGCCATTCCCCAACCCCCCGTCTCAATAGTTTCGGTAGGACTATGTATTTATAAACTGCCTTGAGAATGTGGCTTTGAAACGAAAATAGAAACGCAACCCAGAAATCCATATCATATAAACGTGTAAGTGTATAAAGTAACAGAAGAGTTTTATGGCACCTTACAGACTTGCTGTCTCAGAGGGTAGCAGTACTGGGGCTTTTCCACATGGGTTTTTGTCAGTTCTGCCCCCATACTGCTTTGGCTTATCCCCTGATCTCTGCACACATTTGCCTGCCTTTACTCCCCCCCTGCCCCTCCCCCCCCACAAGATTTTCTGGCTCTTTTGAGATTACTTTTACTCCGAACGTTTCCTGGAGGCCAATTTTGAGTTGGCTTTTTCCTAGTGCCTAATGTTTCTAGATCAAGATGGGCGGCCGTGTTAGTCTGTCTGTAGCAGCAGAAAAAGAGCCAGAGTCCGGTGGCACCTGAAAGACTGACAAAAGTATGCGGCAGGGGAGGAGGTTTCGTTAGTATCTGAGGAAGGGAGCCGTGACCCACGAAAGCTCCTCCCCTGCCACATACTTTTGTTAGTCTTTAAGGTGCCACTGGACTCTGGCTCTTTTTCTGCTGCTACAGACAGACTAACACGGCTGCCCGTCTTGATCTATATCCACTCTGTCCTGCCCATTCCCACCCACCTCCACTCCACTGTTCAGTGATTGGGCTGCCATTGTTAAACCAATCCCACCCCCCAAGACAGTCATATCTCTCTCTCTCTCTCTCTCTCTCTCTCTCTCTCTCTCTCTCTGTAGTGTTGCAATGACTGCTTAAGCAAGTTCTCTGAATTCCCAGCTTTCATTTTTAAAAGTCTGTAGCCCCTTCTCTCATAGAATCATAGAGTTGGACGGGGCCAGACAGACCATCTAGTCCAACCCCCTGCCAAATACAGGACCAGCCTAAAGCATCTCTGACAAATATCCGTCCAGCCTCTTCTTGAAAGCTGTCAGCGAAGGGGAGCTCACCACCTCCCTAGGCAGCTGATTCCACCTTTGAACCACTCTGACCATGAAAAAGTTTTTCCTAATATCCAGCCGATACCTTTCTGCATGTAATTTAAACCCGTTGCTTCGGGTCCTCTCCTCCGCTGCCAACTGGAACCGCTCCTTGCCCTCCTCCCAACGACAGCCTTTCAGATATTTAAAGAGAGACTTACTTAAAAAAAAAAAAGAATACTAGGAATTCAGGGAATCTGCTTAAACTGTCATTACAACATTACAGTGCTATATCCGTCTTTTAGGGTAATTTTTAAAAAAAGAAACAAACAAAGAGGTGCTATAATGCCACCAATAATGACATCGATGACGACAGCACCCTCCCTTGAAAATCCTCCTCATTTAAACCACGTGCAGTAAAAAAATAGCCTGACTCCACAATTGTAAAATTGCACAGGGAGGGTGGACATGGGGGGGGGGGGAACCCTGCCCAAGCTTTCAAGAGTCAAAGCTCCCTTCATCGAACTCCTGCAGCTGATGGAGTTGCCTCTGGCTTGTGGCAGCTTCTGCCCAATACTCTGCTTAGTCTTTAACGCACCCGCACTGCAAGAGGCTTTTTTTTTTTGGCTGCAGCCAATGCTCCCTCTAAGCTGTGGAGTCCTGTGAGCAAAAATTCTGCTTTGTGAGCTACTGGCGTTAAAGTTGTGAGCGAGCGAGCGATTTGGCCACTGCATACGTCAGTTTGCTCCGAAGCCATCCTTCCTGAGCTAAGGCAAAAATGTGTGAACCGGAGGCCAAAAAACTGTGAGCTAGCTCACACTAACTCACCTTAGAGGGAACACCGGCTGCAGCAGACCAACATGGGGAACCCTCCCAGGAAATGCCTAAAATAAATACATTGAAGGGGGGGAAAAAAGAGGAATACAGAGGAGGACCTGTGGCTCAGTAGAAGAGCCTCTGCCTGGCATGCCAAAAGTCCCAGGTTCAATCCCTGGCATCTCCAGTTATAAGGACCAGGCAGTAGGTGATGGGAAAGGCTTCTGCCGGAGACCCTGGAGAGCAGACAGGACTGACCGTGATGGACCAGTGGTCTGATTCAGTATCAGGCCGCTCCCTGTGTATGACCATCGGGAACAACCGACCACTTGAGAGGGTTGGATTGTCTCACTCACAGACACGTCAACAGAATTGCGAGGGACGATGGTGGGTCCCAAGAGTGCAAGGATAATGCTTTGCCATTGGAATCTGCGAGGCCGATTTGTGCATGGGCAAGAGGGAGGGGCTGTTCAGCCCAACGGACGGTTGTCATTAGTTGAGGAGTCTGAAAATAGCTCCTGAGCGTGGCTGTGCTCCAGGGCCATTTTATTTTCTGCACGGCAAACCTGTTAGGGGACCGGATTAGCCTGTGGCAGTCTGAGTGAAATCTGACAGAGTCCCCCGTGCAGGGTGATCTTGGTAACCAGGCACCACGTCAAGCGCAAGGCTCTCAGGAAGAAATGAACCTTGACTGTTGCTGACATGTCAGCAATGTAGGCACTCTATTCAAGAAACTCATTTGCCTTTCGGAGGGCTTACTGGGCAGGGCAGCTGCCTGTAGACTGAAGGCTCTGGTTTCCTGTCACTCACCTCGCCTCCTAAGGCATGGGTGCTTTTTTACGTGCGGTACAGAGAGTTGCTAAGTACCTTCTTCCCAGTGTGTCTCAGACCGTTCTCCCTGATCCAATGGTTTCTGGAGAGCTCCCCACCCAGAATGGCTTCCCTTATTTCCCCTTAGGAAGGAAATCAGTTTGCATGGATGGCCCTCTTCTCCCATTCTGCACTCACTCCATTGGCTGCCCCTCAGTTGCCAGGTTCAATTCAAACCACTGGCTACCATGTGCAAAACTCTTCGTGGCCTTCAGGCCTCGTGTCTGAGGGACCGCCTCTTCCCCCGTGCCGTGCCACGACCGCTTCGCTCATCCGAGCAGGGACTTCTGCAAATGCCACCCTGCAAACAGGCAAACCCGGTAACTGCCTCTATCTGGTTGCGGTCACATGTGCCAGAAAAAACCGGGGGGTGGGGGGTGGGGTTGAGCGAAACTATTTCCTCCGGAGGAATTTGACCCACAGTTGCATGATCCCACCTCCCTTTGAAGCTGTGGGCGCAGTCCGTCAGTGCGTGATCAGAAGCAACTGTGGGTGAGTCGTTTTCTTTCTGTGCCATTCCCCCCCCCCCCCGGCCCTTATTTTGGGGGTTTTTGAATTGACC